GACTCTCGATTGGCAGCTGCAATTAACATTAATTACATTAATTAATATTACTAAATAACAATAATAATAAATAATAATAACCCACCACCATATCCCCCGATATCCCATACAATCCCGGTGCCTTAATCATCCTCACATACAGATACGTATACCCCATCCAGTTCATCGCATCCGACACGTTATTTATCGTGCCCAACACTATCTCTGCATTCAGCATATCAGCTAGCTTCGAGATCATCTGACTCTCGATTGGCAGCTGCAATTAACATTAATTACATTAATTAATATCACTAATTAACAATAATAAACAATAATAAATAATAACAATAAATAATAATAATAAATAATAAAAATAATAAACAACAATAAATAATAATAAATAATAAACAATAAAAATAATAAATAAAAATAAAAAATCACCTGCATCACGTCCAATGCCCCCAGCTCCGTCCACCTCCCCAGTTCAGGACTATAAATCTGCGTCCCTTTGATTATTACCGTATGAGCTGGTAGATTCACTCCCCAGGCCAGTGTGGCCGTCGATACCAACACCTTAATTCATTATTATTATTATTATATATAACATTTATTATATATATTATTACTTACTACTATAATAATATTACTTATTATATATAACATTAATTATATATTATTTATTATAACAATAACAATTACTATATATAATATTCATTATATTTATTGATAATAATAAATAAAACAAACCTGCAGATGTCTATCGGCAAATAAGTCCTCCACCAGTGTCCTATCCACCCTCGTCATTCCGGCATGATGGATCGCGAATCCGTACGGTATTAGATCTCTCAAATCCGCATTCGCTACCTAAATATAACAATAATAATAATAATAATAATAATAATAATAACAAACACAACAACAACATAACAACACAATAACCCACCTGCGAAGCCTCACTCCTCAAAATCTCAGTACTGGCACTCCCCTCCCTCATGAACGCACTCAACGTATCCTTCTCCAAACACGCATCTCGAATCGCCTTCGCTGTCTTGGCCGTCTCCTTTCGTGAATGGACGAATATCAACACCTGAAAATACACCTTATTATTATTATTATTATTAATGTCATTACCTTATAATACACCTTATTATTATTAATGTCATTACCTTATAATACACCTTATTATTATTAATGTCATTACCTTATAATCAACACCTCAAAATATAAATACCTCTAAAATTAAACACACCCAATTCCACAGCTATCTTAAGAAGAGTCCTCATAAGTTTAAGGCAACATCAATAACAATAATAACAATAATAATTATAACTATAGAATACAGAGTGGATAGACATATCTGTTGAGTAGAATATAAACCGGTGATAACCCACTGATAAGCCAGTGATAACGTGTGATAATCTTATCACTTACACAATAATAACGTACATATTGTGATTAATATTGCATTGTATATGTATAATAATAATGTATATGTACAATGAGTAATGTATATAATAATGTATATATACATAATAATAATATAGATATATAATATTATATATAATAATAATATAGATGTACAACAATATGCACAATAATAATGTAAACAACCTCCACAACAATAAATAATATAAACAAACACCCACGCAGACACGACCCAACTCAACCAACCACCCAGTGGTACCACAACAACCAACACTGACTGCCAGATTTAACTGACAACCAACTGTGCCTCTCTCTCTGTCTCCCGCCGTGACCTTTCGCTGTCTGCCCTCTCTCTAATACAACGCTATCTACTCCTCGAGAGCGAGAGATCGCTTATCAGTGTACATAATCGAAGAGAGTGCGAGAGAGAGAAAAAGCGCGAAACACAATATTTACCGCAAGCTTTGACCCAATTCATATCAAACACTCAATTTTCACCGCGCTCATCGTATCAAATTTATTTTTTATATATAATATTTATTATTTTTATTATTTATTTATTATATATATTTATATTTATTATTATATATAATAATCAGATACTCTTGTATATTATATTACCATATACATAACAATACACTATTGCCACCCGTCTGGCAGCTCACGAGTGAGTTTTACAGTTAATTTACTACATAAAAAACCTGCTAAATAATAATAAATAACAATAATAAATAACAATAACAATAATAATAATAAATAACAATAATAATAAATAACAATAATAAATAACAATAATAAATAATAATAATAATAAATAACAATAAAAAATACCCACCTGACTCTTGCCCGCATGCTCCATCACCTTATCATATACCACCTCGTTCATCGCTTGAAATCTCTTCAGCGCCTTCTTCTCCGTTATACCTCAAAACAATTATAATAATAAACAATAAAAACAATAAAAAATAAACAACAAATAAATAAAAATAAATAAAAATAAACAACAAACACAACAACAAAACAACACAACAACCAACCAATATACTGCTGTTCCAACGGCACCGGTCTGTAACTGTTATCGAAATGGAACAAATTCTTCGGTTTCACCCTCAGGAACGTGCCCACGTCCTGATAATTCGGCAGTGTCGCCGACAGCCCCACCAGTCGACACTCCTCATGATTCTGCTCCATTTGCCGTAGTGTTCTGCA